TTCGAGTATCACGATGCTCCTATAGGAGGACATCGTGGCCGAGAGAAAACATATCTCACGGTAAGTCGAGATTTTTACTGGCCCCGCCAGTATCAGTTTGTGCGAAAGTATGTTCGCGCATGCGAAGTCTGCCAACGAGTGAAGTCAAGTCCTTCACTGCGTGCACCTTTACAGCCTCTACCGGTTCCGGCTGAGTGCTGGGAATCCATCTCAATGGATTTCGTCTTCGGGTTACCCAAAGACGCACGCGGGAATACGGGTATTCTCGTATTTGTTGACAGATTCAGCAAAATGGTACACCTTGTGGCTGTACCAGAGACAATCACGGCAAGTGGCTGTGCTTGTGTCTTTATTGACACCATCTTCCGACTTCATGGGTTGCCCCGTGAACTCGTATCAGACAGAGATCCACGATTCACTGCTGATTTCTGGCGTTCCGTGTTCAAATCACTCGGAACGCGCTTGAAGATGTCAACATCTGATCATCCAGAGTCAGATGGTCAGACGGAACGTGCCAATCGTGTCCTTGAAGAGATAATTCGAGGATACGTACACTCCTTTAAGAGTTGGAGTGAGTTTTTGCCAATGGTAGAGTTTGCCATTAACAACTCGGTGCATGCGTCCACGACACATACACCGTTTTACGTGAATGGCTTGCGCCATCCGCGTGTACCCACCTTACTAGAGTGTAACTCTGGTTTAAGGGGGGGAGGGACTCGCGCGAACAAAAACCGAATTGGTTCACGCTCATCACGCTCTGACGAAGAAGTCATTGCGTTTGATGCCGATATCGATAACATCGACATCGAAGAAGATGATGCCAGTGAGAGTGCGGAAGCCCTCACTGAAGACAATGATCCCAGTGAGAGTGCGGAAGCCCTCACTGAAGAAAAGGTTGTTGTTGCTGCAGTGCGCTCACAGCGCACTGAAGCTAACGAGTCATTAGATGAGTTCATACTGGCTCGTGAAACGGTAGTCCGTTTTGTGCAAGACTCCATCGCCGAAGCGGTGGATAAGCAAAAGCAAAACGCTGACAAGAATGGAAGGGCAAACACTCTTTTATTTAATAAAGGTGACTTAGTCCTACTGTCTACGGTTAATCTACCAAAACATGTAGTGACTAACTTGGGTAGCAGTAAACTACTACCCAAGTACATTGGCCCATTTCGTGTATTGCACCGCCTAGGCAATGCATACACGATCGAGTTACCACGTAAGATGCGAACGCATCCCACGTTTTACGTTGGTCGGCTTAAGCCGTACCATCAGTACGCTGCTTCTTCCGATGAAGAACGCCCTTGCGCTCAAGCATCTCGCAGAGAGCCTTGTGCTCCCGATGGTGGGCATCAACAAGGGTCTGAAGAGCAGTTATCTCAGCCCGAGACCGATCAACAATCCCACGAGCTACCCTTAGCTCGTCACGAAGAGATGTCAGAGATCTCTCGTTCTCAAGCTGAGCAAAGGCAAACTCAGCTCGATGCTTCGAGGCAGTGTCCACCATCTGGAGACGCCTATTCCGCTCATGCTCGAGATCGTCGCGTAACCCTTGCGTTACGCGATCAAAGAAGCTCTCGGGAACACACCGATCCACATGATCGTGTGGAGAGCGTCTTTCCTCCTCCTCCACCTCCATTAGAGGACTCTCGCGGTGGCCAGCGCTATCTAGTAGAGCAGCTGTTGAACCACCGCGACGTGAACGGACGTCGGACGAGTTACCTCGTCCGGTGGCGCGGCTATCCCCCGTCCTGGGATTCTTGGGAGCCCCGCTCCCAATTGATGGTTGACGTACTGGGTCTGGTCGAGCAGTACGACGCGACACATCCTGTGCCGCAGAAGGACCGCCGGAGAAAGTCTTCCCGGCACGGTCGTAAAGGGATTTCAGGTTGTCAATCCCTTCGTACATCTCAGTAGAGACACGTACGCGCCACCACGGGCTGGTAAGGAGGTAAGCCTCCTTAGGTGCTCGTGCAGAGTTGTTCACACAACATGGGCACGAGTCTCCCCAAGAGAGGCAGGGTAATCCTTTCTCCCTTGACAGACGATGCAGCTTATAGCGTGCACCTGTCGGGGTTCGCTTTTCAAACTTATCACGAGCTTTGATAAGTTTGTCGTTCCAAGCGTCACGACCTACATCCTCGAGATTATGGATGTAGGCGTTCCACGCCTGAAGTAGTGAGGGACCATCACGTTTGTGATTCCCACTGTACCATCGATGTCTGAAGAAAGCATCGATGAAGAATTCATTCTCAGCGCGATAGTCTTTCGCGCTGGGGTCAAGGTGATGAATCCTCGACGAATCGAACAATCGTGTTCGATAACGATCACTCGTCGTCGCCGACAAGTGATCCATGACAGATTTAGGAGGCATCCATGCCTTCTTTTCTGGAGCGAGACGCAACACATTGCGGTCCCGCTCTTCCTGCGACGTGCCGACAGAAGTACTGGCACCTCGCTGTGAAGTGGTGTCCATTGGAGAAACGACACCACTATTAGCGCCCGAGTCTCGCGACCTCGAGCGCCTTCGCTTCGGCGATGGTTCATCTGACTCATCAGATGAACCAAAGATGCTGCGACGCAAAGCATCGTCCATGCCACGCTTGGCAGGCGGCTTGGATTCAATTGCCGTCGATACGGATCCGTCATCCGTATCAGGAGAGTACGAGACACCGAGCTCGTACTCTGTGAAGACACGAGTGTCTTCATGACCAGCGCCTGCATCACCAGGTGATACAGGCTGAGTCGATTCAGCAACCGATGGGACATCAGTTGCTGTAGTTTCTGCTTCGGCGTCCGCACAGAGACGTGCAGACGCGCTCTCGGCGGCCTTGCTCGCGCATCGCATGGGCTTGTTTACCATGCGATGAGATGTTGGAAAGTGGACGCGGACCAACAAGTGCAAACCCCGTCCCAAATGATTTGGGACGAGTATCCATTTAGTCAATCAGTCACTAAAGTGACTGATGGTTAAGGGGGGGGGTGATGTAACGGGGTGAATCGTTACATAACAATTTATAAGAAATTGTTAATAGAATATAACTTTAAGAGTTATATTCTCAGAATATTGTCATAAGGACAATATTCTGTAGCACTTACGAGTAATTCCTAATTGGTTGATATAGGCCATTATATCAACCAACGAAGACGCGCCACGACAGACGCACGCAATGAGTGGTGAGCAGATAACTGATTTACACATTTGTATTTAGACATAGTTAGATGAAGATAAATAGTGATTTATTGCAGACATTAACTATTATAAATACAGTTCTACTTTTTACTCTAACCAAGTACTCGCTTCTTCTTACCGTCTTCCTCTGCACGTACGAGTGTACGTGAAGTTACGAGGCACCGCCTTATTCTGTTATCAGAATAAGTAGCTTGTACTGTCACCAGTACAAGCTTCAGGGTGCCCCGTTACAGCTTCAGTACTAGTGCACCCACACTGACAACAGTACAGGTAGTGTCGCGTGTTACGTCAAGTACACGGTACGTGCAGAGGAAGGCTAGCAAGTGAACGACGCGTTCAATAGGAGTAGAAACTGTATTAAATGCAATGAAGTTCTAGTTACATGTACCTATGTTTAGTCCTGACTTAATTATACTTATCTACAAAGTGCATCCTAAAGTCTTGCTCACCACTCATTCCGCGCGTCCATCGTCGATTGAACCGCTAGAGCTGGCTGATACGATGGCCCGTATCAACCAATCGGTTAGTGTGTCTAAATATTATCCCTCATGACAATACTCACGAACACTTTCAACCTTATGATCATACTCTAATTGACAAGTATCGAGCTAATTAAATGTAACAGGCCCACCCCGTTACATTTTTTTGTTTCCAATGTTCCAGGGCATCAATTGATTTTTCAAATGATCAGATGCATGTATATGTAGTTGTGATTAAATGAACGATTTTTATTTACCAAAAAAAAATTGGAGACTAGGGTGCAATTCGTGCGATTACGAGAATTTGAATATATTCAGTCCCCTCTAATTTTCATCCCGATGTAGAATAGGGTACGTGCATCGAAATTAGAATAGAATCTTTAGAACTTGATTCGGCACAACAAAAGATGCTAAAAAATATCACTGTTTGAATGGCCAAAACAATTTACCCGGTCTACGACCCCTACCGACCGGTTCGTTCAACCTCACCCGATTAACATCATGAAAGGGGCTCACCCGCTGCCTGCTGGGCATTTGCTTACATGCCAATCGAACACCTTAATCGCTTTAAAGCCATCACGTGCGGGCCTCGATGCGTGTGTATGACCTAGATTTATGTACAGTTACTTTTTTTATCCACTAGGGCTCGCTACAACACATTGCACTCGAACTCTCGCTGTATATGATGCATTGTCAACTCGTTGATGTCAGAGATCGTACAAATGGGTACTGTTAGACCGCGAGATGCTGTATCGTTAACGGCCACACCCGTCGATGACACTGGTTCGTTCATATTCGGTGGTGGTTAAGTATGGTGCCCAAGACTGAGTCTCGTACATGTCGAAGCTACATGCGTAAAGCTAGGTGGTAAGAGGTAGCGGTGCTGGTAAAGAACCATGAGGGCAGTTGGATCGTGTATAATACGGCGCGTAAAGGTACGCATGGTTACATCTACCTATGCGCTCCACATACAGGTGGTTTTCCACACGATGATGCTTCCAATCCGACGAGCAACGTTGGACCACACCGTGTTTCGTGTAGCTGCTTCGAGAATACACCAGCCTTCAATCAACTCGTCGTTTGCTTCAAGATCGGCAGTTCTAATGTGTGCTGCGTAGATCCAACATAGTGAGGGACGCACGTCCGAGGTACGAGATGATGTACCAACATTGGGTCTTGGGGCTTCAAGCACCGTGTATACCGCACAAGGGACGTTATATAGTTGTAACCACCTGCACACGATAGCTGTACAATAGGCGCACACATGGCAATACAGACGTAGCCCTCACTTCAAGCTGTTAAAGACATTATATAGCAAAGTACAGAGTTTCCGTCTACTCTTCCTCCTCCACATCCATGGCGGCGACCTCGCTGCTGGTCTCGTCTTGGCCTGTTTCCGCCTCCATCTTCGCAATATCTTCGGTGGTGATCAACCCACTCTCGATCAACTTTTTCTTCTCACCCTCCACGTAGATGCGGTGGCGCTTGGCATCCTTCTGCTCTTTTTTCTTGGACTGCCGGTGTTTGCGCAAGACCGTGTGCTTACCCTTCTGCAGCAATCCCACCTTTTTCTGGTTGCGGATCTTCGCACGTTTCTTTTGGAGGAGTTTCACCTTCTTCTTGTTCATCGTCTGCACTGCCTGGCCATTGGCGCCCATGTCTGCTGCTTCGTCCGGACGAGTACCTGGAGTCCTTCCGCTGCTTTGCTAAATTATTGCAAATAGTGACGAGTGGTCACCACTGAAGGCGGTACATTTATGGTACGATCGTACTTACGGCATCTACCACAGAGACTTTTTGAAAACATGTGATCTGCGCTGTTCAAACCAAATCTGGAACAAATTATAGTCATCGAAGGAGTCTGTGACCCAGCACAAGTCATCCCAGGGTTAGCTGACTCCTATTCGAACAATCAAAGACGTGGAACAGCTTTGGTTTTGTGGTGGAAAAGCTGTCTTACGTGCAAACTACTACTGCCAATGATCGGGGTGTCATTAGAATGAATGGCGTCCAACGCATATCGGTAAGGCTGGAGTTCTCTCAACAAAATGACACTCCCGACATCTTCGCTGTGGCTGAACCAAAGCCCTTGATTACTTCTTCGACCGCTTGCCTGCCCCTTTCTTGGGAATCGACTTGCCCCTCCGCTTCATCTGGTCGAGCTTACCAAGACGCTCCTCCCTCAAAATCTCGTAGTTCGGGTCATTGCCACCGAGACGCAGCAACAGCGGCTTGTTGAACCAAGAAGCCACCTTGTCACCCTTGAGCTGCTTGCTGATCACCTTGTTGCCCGACGGCGTGTGGCGCTGCGGGAGACGCTGGAAGATCTTGCGACCGAGGTCCGCAATCTGCTGGGAAGTTGCCATCGTGTCGTGCCACTCACTTGTGGTGTGACCAAGTGTGCTGTAAGTCTTGTAGCTCGTTCTGATTGGATGAAAGGATGCCCTGAACTCCAAGACGATAGAAATTCCATGAAAAGAGCATGGGTTACAAGGATTTCTATAGCAGGTTACATCCACGCAACGACTTTCAGTGTCATCACGTTTCGCTGGCCATCGTCAAGACTCCGACCATCTCATTGCATACCTCGCTTCAGTCGTGGCGTCTTTACCTCTTCAAGCCGCTTATCCCGTTCCTTAATCATGTGCCACAGTTGCGCGTGCAAGATCGGCCCTTCGCTCTTAGCGTCCGATCTCTCGCGTCTCAAGGACGAGTCACTGAAGGTGGTAGCAGCTGGCGCCGATTACCTGCATCTGGACGTAATGGACGGCCACTTTGTGCCTAACATCTCGTGGGGTCCACCTGTCATCAAATCGCTTCGGCCGCATACCAAGGCATTTTTTGACTGCCATATGATGGTGTCGAAGCCAGAGCAGTGGGTGCTCGACGTGGCGGCGGCTGGCGGTGACCAGTTCACCTTTCACCTGGAAGCGACTCTGGACCCGGAGGCTCTCATCGAGCAGATTCGTAGCGCTGGTATGAAAGTTGGATTGGCTATCAAACCAGGTACGAGTGCCGAAGCTGCTTTTCCGTTTGTAGAGCTCGTGGACATGGTGCTGGTCATGACTGTGGAGCCAGGTTTTGGTGGGCAGAGTTTCATGGCCGACATGATGCCGAAAGTAGAGACTCTTCGTACCAAGTATCCGACGCTGGACATTGAGGTGGATGGCGGGTTGGGCCCCTCCACGATTGATGCTGCAGCAAAGGCAGGTGCCAACATGATTGTTGCTGGAAGCTCGGTGTTCAAGGCCGTAGACACGAAGGCTGTCATTCTACAACTGCGCCACAGTGTGGAGAAGTACGGCAACGGCAAGAGCGATGATCACCTGACCAACTTGTAACGAATTGCGCTGGTGTTAATGGATCACCGTCGAAGTGACTTCGCCTTATTACCTCTCGTGGCGCAATCGATTGGTCAGCTGATTATCGCGGTGCTTCATAATCTACTAGATGCAAAAAGCCTACACTGAGGAGTCACTATTCTGCATCTTGCAATGCCCGCCTGCGTGCATACCTAACTCAGGTTCAGCTCAGACAAAAGAATTGGAGCATCTTAATCTCAATTTACATATCCTCGTCTTCCACATCGTCCTCGCCAGAGGTCACAGCTTCATCAACCGAGAGCCGCTCATACGTGTCCTTGGACCAGACGCTCAACATGACAAGCTTGAACTCAGCCAGCTTGTGATCAAAGTGCACAAGCAGCTTGGCTTGTTCTGGAGTCAGCGTCTGGCCAGACTTGCAGATGATGTAGTTCCGGCTAAGCACGACGACGCCGTTCTTCAAGTCCACAGGAAGTCCCAAGCCACGCAGCGACTCGAGCATGCTGCCAATGAACTGTGGCAGCGGGCCCTCGGGGACCGTTATCGTATCAGTAGCCACAAAACCAGCACGCGGATAGTCGCTGACCGACAGCTTGGTAAAGTAGTCCACCACTTCGTCGCGCGGCTTGTTGGTGAACAGGAGACCGGTGTTGCCGCTGACATCCTTGGACAGGCGAAAGAGGTTCTCGGCATACTCGTCCTCCTTGGAACGTCCGAGCGCAAGTTTCATGACCTTGTTCTTGCCGAGAAAGAAGCGGCTGTCTTTGAAGTCCATACGCACATCCTTAAAATGGCTGGTGCGCATGTTCTGGAAGCTGAAGACGTAGACAGACTCGTACGTATCGACAGCATTCTGAATGGCTTCTACCACGTTTTTCTTCAGCTCGTTGCCCTTCTTGTTCGCCTGCGTCAGCGTCTTCGTGCGCTGTCTCTTGGACTTGGGCATGGTGGCTCGACACTCGCTTGGCTTATGTCAAGTCGACGGCCTGATCCTCGCAGGCGGCAGTCTCCACCAACCAAAACCACACGCCTTGCAGTTTCACTATTTTGGCCAATCATTTATGCTGATCTGAAAGTCAATTATAATTCGCTGATGGGCCACACTAGATCTATATCATTGGCTATAAACATCTCCCATCGTGCCCAGCCAGTCAGTCTGTCGTCCGGTAGGGGGGATCTATTCCGGAACCACTATCGACCATGGCTTGGGGGCTCGCAGACACGACGCCAACGCTGGCGCCTGCTGCCACGGCCGTTGCCGCCCCTGGTAACGATGCATCTGGTTCTTCTTCTCCTGTAAGAGCATTGGCTCCAGTGCCCGAGTCTACAGAGGGCGTTGACATATTTGAGGGTGTGAACCCCGTAACTAGCGTAGCTCTGGAGGGGGTGGCGTTGCTGCAGATCATCAAGCACTGCCATGAAAGCCTTCCAGGCGGCGTGGCTGGATCACTGCTGGGCATGGACAAGGACCAAGTGCTGGAGGTGACCAATAGCTTTCCGTCGCTGCCCAGTAGCGAGCGCAGAAAGGGCACGGACGAGTACCAGCTTGACATGATGAAGAGTCTTCGCGAGGTTGGCATGGACAACAACAAGGTGGGCTGGTACCAGTCGGTGGCCATGGGCACCTTTTGCACAGCCTCGTTTATTGAGCACCAGTATCAGAACCAGAAGGCGCTGGGTCCGAACGCCATCTGTCTCATTTACGACTCAGCAGAGACATCCAAAGGTTCACTCAGTCTGCGTGCAGTGCGTCTTACGAAGGCTTTTATGGACACTTACAGAAGTGGTGCGTTTACTAAGGAGAGCTTTGCTAAGACTGATATTCGCTCAGCTACGGTGGTGGAGGAAATTCCCGTTGAGCTTCGCAACTCCGACATTGTCACGTGCTGGCTGCATCAGACCAAGGACAGCGTCTCAGCCAGCAGCTTCGAGCGTCTTGACCTGGCAACTAACGCCTATTTGGAGAACAGTCTTAAGAACATGTCGCTTTGGGCCGACGAGCTTGCGCAGGAACACTACAAATTCCAGGGATTCGAGCGAGCGTTATCTAAGCAGCGCGCCGCCTACCAGCAATGGCAGAATAGACAGCGGGAGGAGAACAAGGTGCGCCGGGAGAACGGCGACAAGCTTGTTCCTGAGGAGGACCCCAACTTTTTCAAGTCAGTGAATCAGCCTTCTCGTCTCGAGTCGCTCCTGATCACCAAGCAGATGAACACGTACTGTGAGCACATTAACCGCTACGCCGGGAAGTCCATTCAGAAGCTCTTTTTGGCTGCTAAGGTTCACCAGAATGAGTGAACGGACAGGTAACGCAGATCTCATTTTTGAATGCGATGTTTGAAGCGTATTCTTTGTGGGAATAAGGTAACAGTAATTTCGGTCGGGCAGTCCCTGGTATTAGGCCAAGCGACGCCTGGGCAGCTGATTGATGACATGTTGAGAGAGCTAGATAGAGCAAGGTTGGATGGAGGCAGGTGTTGGCGATTGAGTTCCTTTTGTTCCCTGTCAAGGTCTGCTCTGTTTGCAGCACCATCCTGGTGCATTCACATAAGAACCAATATCCTACCCACTGTGCTGATTCGCGTTTTACATCCGGTCGATCCCTGAATGCTCGATGTTAAAGATCCTGATCTCGAATCGGTCCAGCTGCTGCACTTGCGAACTATGTAATCACCCGTACAGTCGACATTCGTGTATGTACCAAACCATACAATCACTCGGACATAAGCTGTGCTCTACAAGACGAAATTGATCTCAGTGCCTGACGCACATGACGGTCCTTCATGGTGTGAAGTCAACTGAATTGAGCTTATACCAAACCAGTTGCAGAACGGCTCAAGACACCAACTTGACAAATCTCATACCGATGCTTTGAGTCGTCGTTTCAAGGTGAAGTGTTCCCGTATTCGATGACCCCAGCGATGAAACAACTGCTTCATCGCCTTGAGCGATTCCCAGTATCCTTCCTTCCTGCTGGTTCTGTCGTCCTTGGCAAATATGCGAACACAGTGCGATCGAGGCAGTGAAGCTGTGATGACTTTAAATTGCTGACGAGTTCGTGCATATCGTAGAACAACACACCGGTGCCCATGCATACCGCAAGCCACCAACGCCGCTGCTGCTGCTGCTGTCAAGTGTTAGTATACTTCTCACCCGTTGCTGGTATCGATTCGAATCCAATCGATCGACTATGATGTGAATTTAACGGCGCGGGTATATGGCCGCAATCGGTAGAGCAAGCGCCGAGAAGTCGAGCGTTTTCGGATGAAAACATAAAAGTTTGACAATAGCGTGTTAAAATGCCCGATAGACGCCAGCAACAAACTGCAAAGAGACCAAATGTGGTTCTGTCGCATCACGTTAAGACATATGCACTACTAGAAGCGGCGCATTGTTGCATCTAAGGACAAACCGATACGACGTTGCAATAGCGGTCATGTGGGAGAAATTCTAGTCGTTTTATCGGTGACGATAGCGTTTGAAAATGGGTACAACAACGCGTACACTTCGTTGTGCACTACAAAACACTAGAAAAGTTATCGGAAACTAGCTCGTGCACGTAAACGGGGGCGTTAAAATCAAGCATGCTGTTGTCGGATTGCGCATGACTCCAGCTTGTTTCAGTGCTAACTTACACCAAAGGAGCTTCGGAGGTAGGAAGTGCTCGATGAGCAACAGGCTCGACCGATTAAGAGTGTGTCTGATAGAGGAAAGAGGACACCAGTGTGCGCGCTGGCACACTCCTGGCGTGAGTAGGTAATCGCTACTCATAAAGATTGTAGACAGAGGTTGTACATCGTTGCAGCAATTCGGTACAAACGACCGGCAAGTTGTAAGGCACGCGTGTTGTTGCCTTGGGTGCCTTTTCGGCTCGATGTTGCTGCATGTGAAAAACTATGATCATCGGCAGGATGATTCGCGCGATGAGACGCGGACGAAGTTCTAGCAAGAATAAATACAGCCAGGAAACGCAAGGATAGGCTGTTTGGCAGAATGGTCAGATATTGCCAAGAAAAATGGAATTGCTATGGTGATCACATGAGAAAATAATTTGAACACACGAGTGAGGTGACTACTATGCACAGAAGACTATGTCGCGATTGACACATCAGTGGGTGGGTCTGTCGGAAAGGTAGACGACGGTGCAGCGTCCGTCATCGCTGACATTTTTCGAACTTCATCTAAGTTGCCCTAGAGCAACGTAACTCGAATTCGAGTTGTGCTTGTGTCCCAACAAGTCCTTGAAGCAGATTCCGTGTTGATCCTTTCGTCACTTTGGCCATTAATTGACATGTTCTGGCGCCGCAGTCGCCCGAAGGAAGCAGTAGTAGAGGAGACTGACGACTTGGCAAAGCTTCAAAAGCAGTTTGGCATCATTCCAGTAAGTGACGCAGATGTGGAGGCGGATCTCCTGGCTCTCTCCTTCATATCTGGTGGCTCTAGTCTCACAGACGAAGAGCGACTTTTGCTTGCAAGCGACAATGAAGACGAAGATGAAGAAGCCAAGATACTCAGAGAATTAGAGATGGACGGAGATTCACTTCTGGATAATGAGATGGATAGTCAACAAGTGGCGCAGAACGAGCTGTGCAGTATATTGGAAGAGGCTCACGAGACTGCGAAAGAGAGGAGCAGTCGAGAGACTGTAGAGATGAGCGAAGAGAAAAAGCGCAGTCAGACTTCTGTATTGATTTCGTGCAACGATGAAGAGCTCCAGTCACTGAAGATTGAGGCGGTGGCGCTCAAAAGAGAAGGAAAAATTGAGCAGGCCCTGGCCAAGTTCCGCGAGGCCAAACAGCTGCAACAAAAGATCGCTGGAGAGAAGGAAAAGGCTTCAAAAATGAGTCATCGAACACTACAATGTGAAGGGCTTCCGCCGGTGGAAAACATGCTGAATGATGACGTTGAAGTGACGGACGAAGACATGCGAAACCCGGAGTTTCTTGCCCAATTGGTGGAAATGGGCCTGAAATTCGACAACGGGATATCTACTGATGAAAAGAGTGCACAGCACGTTGATGCGAGGACAAAAATGACTGCTTTGGAAACTCAGATTAATGCTTGCAAGCTTCAAGCTGTGAAGCTAAAGCGTGAGGGTCGGATTACAGATGCGCTGGCTTGCATGCGCAAAATTAAACACTTAGAAGCGGATCGTGACGAGCTGCAACCCTTTCAATTACGGTCAATTGTACCTTCAGCAGTACGGAGACAAGAAGTATTGGATGACATCGAGCCTGTGGAGCCCACTTTTTCAGTCAACAGCTCTCCGGCTGTGCGCGTAAATTCAGACACCACGACGCTCGACGAGATACAACAAGGTATCAGCAATGGTAGCATGGATGATGCGGAAGTCAATTCCACGCATGCGAACCATGTTACTTGTACTACGGAAGTGCCTTTTTCAGAGGCCGAAAGTACTTCAGGGATTGATCCCTTGCAAACAGAGAGGCATATATCGCAAGAAGTTGCAGTTATACGAGCTGATGTTGCAAACTCGCGATGTTTGAGAAATGCTCCATCGATTGATGAAAACTACTTAATTGACGCATTTGACGAGAGACGTGGTTCTGAAGCAGCAAATCATTTGACCTCGGTGACCTCGGACAACTCCTTGTGCTCGATTCCCTTTGTACCTGCAGCTAAAAACGTCACTTTCTCAACGAAAGATACGCGAACAGAGACTAGCAGCGCCCATAATGATGACCTTCCTGCTCAGCTACAGAAGACTAAGCAGACAGCGTTGTTGCTAAAGCGAAAGGGAGATATTCAAGGTGCACTTGAAGCTATAAGAAGAGCAAAGCATATTCAGAATCTCATTGAGCACAAGCAGCGAGCTTCTATAATGACTGCGTCTACCATGACCTTACCATTCAACCAAATTTTCGCTGCTGGATTTCAGGAGATTGAGCAACTGCTGGTAGATTTCGGTAATAAGGCGACATCATTTGCAAAAAGGTGCTTGCCCGCCAATCGCAAAATGGCTTTTGAGTGGTTGAGCAAGGTAAGACCTCGTTGCTTTGACTCAATTTCTGCCTCACCTCGTTGACACAGGTTGTGGCACACTGTATCGTTTTGCGTTGTTTTATGAGCAGCGGAAGCGGTACGAAGCCGAGCTGAAGAAGTTGCGACTAAAACGGCAGAACCCACTGCAGGCACCTCCGCAATATGAGATCGTCAGCACCTCTCACGAAGTAAAGTTCGAGCTGCCGTTTCTTGCTGACGATCAGATCAGGTTATCGATCAAAAGTGTCAGCGGGCTGTCCCGGGTAGCAGGCAAATCAGTTTTTGTCAAGTTTTGCCTTAACTTTCCGTCTGGGACGTCCCATGGAGGCCAGACCGGTGAGTTCCGGATCAGCTCCAGTGCCTCGTTCTCGGCTAAGATTTGTACAAGCCAAAAATGCTTCGACTTTCGATTGACACGGTCGCGAGGGACAATGCGTCTGTTTGGGATAAAAAAGGCGGTATTTGAAGTTTGGAGTCCAGCAACACTGTTTCGCAACTCGGAACTTGTCGCTCGAGCGTATCAGGAATTGGTACGTTCTCATTGTGCCATACGTCATTTGGATGCCATTTTTTCTGACCTCAACATACTGTATGTGCTGCGCTTCAGTCTCCATTACTGACGTGCTGTGAAATCGATACTCACATTCCTTTTCTCGGTCCAAATAGAAGGCCGTGCGGAGGAGATATTGAGGTAACGACGTTACGCATCAGATGTATTTTTAAGGATTGAGAGTGTTCTGACGTATTGACAATACCGGTGAACAGATTGCTCTCCAAGTGCGACGCCCATTGAAAGAAAAAGAAGTTCGTCTAGAGACTGTGGAGGACTTGTTTGTCGGTGATTACCCCGAGCCAGTTACGCTCTCTATAGAACACGTGTCCGTGCCCAATCTGGTTTCGCAGCCACCACCACTTGCCAATGTGTCTGGTCCTTTCGTAAAGGACCAAGAACAAACAAACGCACTACTTCAGGAGGGCCAACTAAGCCCTGCCTCCATGTCGGTCGACGACCCACACCATCTTGATCTGATAGTCAGCTACGACGTCATTATCGAAGAGGTGAGCATTTGCACGGACGTCAGTGTTGTGTCTCAAAACTGACATGTTTGTTTTCCATGATTATAGCTTGACAAAGCAAGGGCAATACTGCCTTCATTGTCGGGACCTGATGCTGTGACGTTGGATGACCGATGTGACTCTTTAGCGCTGAAAAAGCAGCTACTTGAGATTGAGATGCAGACCGGAACTCTGACGTTTGATGCGTACCTAGATTGTTTACGTAGCCGGATATCTGCTGATCGCATACTGATTGCAGAGCTCTTAGCGTTGAAACGACGGTCGGATGCCGCGCGTGTTTTTCACCGCATAAAAGTTATGGAAAAGGAGATGGAAGGCACTGAAGGTGTTTCCAGCGATGCATAAAGGACATTGTGACATCATAGTGCCATCGTCGTCGTACGTGCTTTACTCGCTGTCACCGCTTCTCGTCATGAAAAGTAGTCGATCATACTGTGGGTTTTACGCAGGCAACAAGTTCAGTGCGGTTCTACTTCTTCCGGGCTTGACGAGACAGCCGTGCAAACTGACTATCGGTTGGCGCGTGAAGCCACTGATGAATCCCGATCCGGTCAAAGAATTAACCAGAGGCTCCATCGCGATGCTTACCCGGTATGCTTGCGGTTTTTCGGTCTAAGATCTACCTCTACAACATTAGGGGTAAGCCAAAGTAGTGGATGGTGTTCGATGTAGAGAAGGCTTATGGTTGAGGGTCATACTCTGGCTGCGCGAACGAGACTTCAATTCGCTTGAGTCAGGAACAAAATGCATTCTTTGTAGAGTGGTTCAGATCACAGCTTACCGGACACCATCAGCATGAACTCGATATTGCAAAACTACAATGCTGCTCGCTACGCCTTTCTGCCTCAAAAGTTTACCTCGATCTAGTTAATCGGAAATCGCCATATCGAGCACAAGAAACGAAATCTAGTTCGTGGAAGCCCACCTGTTGCAACGAAGTAAAGATCTCCCCAGCTCTGATGTTTAGTCCGACTTCGCAGATTAGAGTTTGCAACCGATGTATTTTTCTACCAGGATGCCTTTCATATCTCGGTTGGTCCAGCCATCAGTTTGGTCTAATTTTATTCAGTCGCACGGCTTGACATGTTCGACTTGACCTGTATGTGGCTTATCATCATCTGCATGACCACAAAAGGTCATAGCTCGCTTACAACTTCGTGAGCTAGAGTCAGTTGACGATTTCGGAAGCTTCGTCAACGACCTGATCTCGATACCTTCGAACCTCATTTTCTCGCCTCAAGCAAACTTAGCTGCTTGGTTTCCGTGTGCATCGCGTAAATTATTTCCAAGTGTTTCTACAAGTTTGCTTGAACTCTATGAAGTCAGATTGGGTATACAGCATTCAACGCAATCAGACTCTTTATCACAAGGTTCCGAATACGTTGCTTATCCCTGCGCTGCAAGTTCGCGTTTTTTAAACGAGGAGCAATGGAATGAGGTGCGCACGATTGCACACGCACATGTGTCCAATTCATTGCGCAGTAAAGTAGATGCCAAGATTCACTGTAGGATTAATGAGGTAGAGAGATGCCAAAGGAAGATTCCGACTCACTTTATTAGTGACAAGCGATCACTCAGTCATTAATGGGAGCTCTGTGGCAGTGATAGCGGCAATGAGTCGATAAGCGTGTCGCATCGGGGTGCAAGCATTTGCTTTATGGCAAGGAGCGCTCTTGGTCACTAACAAGGAAGAAGTATCTTGTTTTGAGACGGTTGGTACTGACTCAGGTCTGCGCGGATACATTGTGACCAGCGGTTCTGGACTAGATCATAACACACGCTACATGTTACCAATTCCACAGCTCTAAGCTTTCAACATCTTTGTGCTCGAAGTCGCGAGCGCTAGTGCTCCAAATCACCAGTGAAAAGTCGAACTGAGAAGTGAACATTGCAGCCCCTTCAGTGCATGCTGGTTTTGCATCGACACTTGAGTCATCGGAACTCGTTTGCTCGTTCCTTTGACGATCGATCGCACTTTTGAGAAACAACATCTGGTAGAAACAAAGTTGAAGCAGAACGTTCACGACAGCACATTTTCGATTGATGCAAATTGCTTACGAGCAGCCGTCTCCGAGTGTTGATGTCACTATGCACTTTAGTGCCATTTTCCTTGAGCCAACCAAAGTCGAAGCCACAAAGACCGCAACAATCACCACCAGATACGCCCAAGCAGCAGCCGCAACAGCAACAGCAGTAGCAAGACCATTAAGTACCTACCAATCCCGCTACTAAGGGCATGAGCGAGCAAAAGACCGTGGGGAATTCCCAGAAACCATTGCAAGAGGACAAGAAAGCGGTGGAGAGCACAACAGTCGCTGTCCCTGCCGCTGTGAATGACATGGCTACCAAGGTGAGCCACTGCAATCAAAACAGTCGTAGCATTGAGGTAAAAAGCGGCTGACGCTTCATTGACTAATCGCATTCTCTTTTGTGTGTGTACATGAGCAGCACCCGCTGCAGAACCGATGGGTTTTGTGGTACGACAATCCCAAGAAGCGCAACTCGACCGAGTCTTGGGAGGAGAATCTCAAGAATGTTTACACGTTCAACACAGTGGAAGATTTTTGGTGGTACGTGGATACCGGGGTCGCTTTCGTTGCTATCAATATTGAGCGCTGACTAGCGATCGTTTGTCGTACGTTGGCCGGCAGTTTGTACAATAACATCTTGGCACCCACGAAGCTCTCGACTGGGAGCAACTACCATTTGTTCAAGGAAGGAATTCGACCGATGTGGGAAGACCCGATCAACGCCAAAGGCGGCAAGTGGATTTTCACGAACCCTCGCTCGCGAAAAGCGCGACTTGATGAGTGCTGGCTCTACGTGGTATGCTGCAGACACACGGCAACAGGTGTGCAAGGATGCTGGTCTGGTACTAATGAAGGTGGCGGTGATTTTTAGATGCTTTCGCTGATCGGTGAGACGCTGCAGGACGAAGATGACGTGTGTGGCGCTGTAGCTAGTGTGCGCAAGCCACAGGACCGCATTGCCATTTGGAGTGCAACGGCTCATGCTGAGGACCGCCAGAAGGCTATTGGACGTGGCTTCCGCCAGGCGCTTGTTGATCTCGGCAAGAATGAAGTGCTAAAGTACCAGTCACACGCCGATGCTGCGGCGAGCGGGTCCAGTTTTCAAAACGAAGTGTACGTTGATCATCTTCAGACGCGCATGTTGTTTTCTGTTGATGACACCTTTTGTCTGTTGTTGCAGACTGTATGAGGCGTGACTCGACGCCGTTGTAACCACATTTGTGTAGTAGAGATCTGCAGTATATGCAATTCATACACAACTTTTGAGCAATTTGAGCAACTATTGACATGTCAAAAATGTTGGAGCTTATCATCTCGAAACAGGATGATATTATTACGATAGCCGGCTGTTGATATCTTGCACTACTAATTTTCTACGCAAAAGAGTCGCACGGACTCGTCGTCACTGGCAGTAAGAAGCTCAGCCACAGAGTTGCCTTCGACGGCAGGGACCAAAGCCACGTCGAGTATCATATCCGTGTGACCCGCCAAAGTCTTCAGAAGCTGCCCTGTCCGGGCGTCCCAAACGTATAGCAGACCTTCCACCGTGCACGAGTACACAATAGGCTGCGAAGGGTGCCACAGCAGCTTAATCACTCCAGCAGGGTGACGGCAAACATGGCGGCACTACAGCAGATTGAAAGCAGTGGTTAGAAAGGTGGGCAAAGGAACGTGTTGAAATACTTCGATATACCTGGTACGTCACTAGATCCCAAATGCGCAGGTATCCGCCCAAACAACCTGTAGCGGCCCAGTTCATCGTATGACAGAATCCTCCACTGTGACCCGAACATTGGTGTCAGCCAGAATTGACATTCGTTAGAACAAAAGATAACGAAACGTACCATTCAACCGAGTTTTCCGTCGCACTTGAAGCGTCGTTGACGATTCCAATAATGCCTACCCCAGCGCCATCGTGCGACAACGCTGCGAGCACGCGTTTCGTCTGCACTTGAATCAGGCGAGCAGTGCCGTCCTGAGAGCCACATATTGCAAGAGGTTGCTAACAAGTAAACCAGATCCCGGCACTCGTTAGTTCTTTCCCAACTCACAAGGAACGTGCCCAATCCCAACTTACGCTTGGATGACAGGTGATAAACGTCACCGGACCTTCGTGAAAGCCGTGACTGCCGTACGAAACGAGTCATTAAAAATCATTCTCTCGATTATATGAATGCCACGCAGGTGGAGTCACGTACCCCCGGAATACGTGGTTACATTCACCCGTCTTCGGGTTCCAGACACGCACTGTCGTGTCGGAACTACCAGTCACAATCAGCTGCCGCACAATAACAAATGCCAAAAGTTAAAAACAAACACCAGCGGGCAGTATATCTATAGCGCACTTTTCCGGATCCTGTAAACGCGCCACATGTAACGCCGTCTTCATGTCCAGCAAACACGTGCATGCATTCTCCAGTCGTCGCCAGCCACATCCATACAGTCCCGTCGCTCGATCCGGCCAGTACTACGTTTCCCTTCTTATGCCAGCAAACCCATTCGACCTCTTGTGACGGACCCTCTAGGTTCTGTACCATGTTCCCCGTTGCTACTTCCCAGACCTTGACAACGCCATCATATCCTCCTGTAGCCGCGTATTTGCCATCAAAGCTGAAATCCACACTCACGACCGAGTCCTGGTGACCCGACAACGTGTACAGCACGTTGCCATCCTCTCGATTCCAAATCACACCGACATCGTCACCTCCGCCTGTGATGACGATCCTTGGGTCCACTGGGTTCACCTTGATCGAGTACACCGGCCCCGAGTGTTTATTGAACACCTACGATAACGTACAACTCAAGTAAGTCGCCAGCGTCTCCGACACTCCAGGCTACGTCCGCCATTGCTCTACCATCTCAGCATCATCGCGCACATCCGCGTCCTCAGCCAAAATTCTTCCGTCATCGTCCACGTCTTCCATCGCGTCCTCTTCCTCGTCTTCGTCTGTTCAACAGTCACACATTCAAAACCACGTGACCAAGGGCTCGTCCAAGGCCCCGCAGCATCGCACACCCTTTTACAGACGCACCGTGAGGCGCCTCGCCAAGTTCGAACTCGTGCGTGGTCTCGTCTGCCGTAATCACTTCGATCTCCGTCATCTCGTCGTCGTTCTCGTCGGTCACCTGAGTGTCCGTCATGTTCCTTGGTTAAGACTTGGTTCCTTTCGCTGGGCACCAGCCACACTCCGGATGTAGACCAAATGTGGAATGCATTCGGAGTCATATTTTACCAATTATTGTAGAATATAGGAGAGAAGATAAATTACGTGATTCACAATTATGGGTCTTCATGGAAATATCGTACTTCGGAGTTGCTGGGCAATTATTGTTGATAGGCTCACACGCTCAGCATTGTATCATGTTTTAACGGAGGAGGGCTGTCCACAAAATGTAATTAAAGATCGAAATTGGTTTCAGTCAATTAATAATATTGTTCATGCCGGAAACAATACTCAATATTCCCAGCAGACCAATCACGACGTGCCACTTTCAGCCTATTCATTAACACACGCAAAAAGTATTAAAAATGCGATTCAGCGTGACAGCTACGACCGCCGTCATCGCCTGCTTTTGTATGGCGACAGCATACGTGGGCGTGCTGTACACACTGCCGCAGGAAATCCGGCGCCTTCCCCGTGACCATCCCACGCACGTAGGTCCTTCCACCTGTCACTCCAACGAGTGTGTGAATCTCACAAACGATTTCATGGCATTGTTCTGCTGCGATAGATTTTAGCGCGCTTCCTGCTCATCTGCATCTTTTGCGGCATCTGTCCATTTGTATTGGCAGTCTTTTACGATCATGTGCGTGTTGCTGCATCGATTGATTGATCGTGGCTGAATGTGACAAGAGAGAGGGAGAGAGTTGCAACAGCTTGACTGACAGAGACTTTTGTGGCCACGTGCTTGGCAGGATGAAGCCAGCATGTCGTTCGCTCAATGGCTTGGCATCCGGTCGGAAGGTCTGCTGCAGGCGATCACTGTCCCACTGTTTGCAACAGCGGTGCTGTTCACAGGTTCGCTGCTGGCCAATGCGCTGCGTCTGCTAAACGTGTCGAAGCACTTCCACTTTAATGGCTGGTGGTTTGCAATCAAAAATTCGGCGCTGTACTATTCCATCACGCATGATCGACTACCGTCACTGCGCACTTACGTGCTGGTATTTGTCGATCGGATAGGAAAAAGGAGATGGCGCAAGGGGAGGTGCTAACTTTCGCATCTGTGTTACAGGGTCCCTTGACAGAAGAGTTTGTGTTTCGAAGCTGCATGGTTCCGCTGCTTGTGTGTGCGGATTTCACGGTCAAGCAGATTGTTTTGGGTAGTCCGGTGATGTTCGGAGTAGGTGCGTTCAGTGCAGCGTCGATTATCTGCAAGGTGTATGGATTTGTTCGTGACCTCGATGATGGATGTTATGATCAGCCCACTTGCACCATTTTATGGAGTATGTGCGACGTGGTCGGTCTCCCAAGGATGCAGCGTTGACCGTTGGTACGCACTGTTGTTGCAAATGCCTAACTCATTATTTGGAGTCTGACGTAGCGACGACGATTCTGTGCAGGCTTCCAGCTCGTTTACACCTCTCTGTTTGGAGCGTATGCTACATTCATTTTCTTGAGAACAGGTTCGATCGAGCTCATTTTGTAGTGTCTCTTGATCTTGCCGATAGCTACGCTAGGATAATCGCTGCTGTGGTAGTTGCTCAAGTCTCGGTGGTCTGATTTATCATCGTGCGGTATTGTTCGTTTAGGTCACTTCGCATCTACTTTCCTCGTGCACGTGTTTTGCAACGTCATGGGCTTCCCGGACCTCTCCTTTTTCAATCCGGAAAACTCATTGCACCCTTATCGATTCGGTACGGGCGTCATTTGATAAGGAAGTTGGTATGTGTTGTGGCGACTAAACTAACGTGTGTCATCTGCGCAGTACTTCTTGGAGCCTACTTTTTCGGCATTTATGGCTTCTCACTTGTCGTAATGCCGTTGTCGGAACCAGCAATCTATTCTTCGGAACTGTGGAACGTTACGGCGTCTGCAATAGACCACGGAGTTGTGTTCAGATACTCGGGCACTCTCTAAGTTTCAACTGAGATTTTTGTTGTTTTCCAGCTTTATTGAGCAGTTCGTGAACGAAAGCAAAAGACTGGCGCGCTGTATACGACGGTGCCATGCGTAGATCTTGCTATTCACATGGTATTTGCATGCTTTTTACTTCATTCGATAAGCATCTACGGCTCCTCGCGCTGGTTGCATCCTTCGTCGATGCAGGGCAATCAGATATCGAAGAGCATGCGCTTCTACCATTCTATCGTCATCATGAGCCTCGTGCTGGATTTTTTTACAGCATGTGCTTCGCGACGGTGGCACGATCTGACGTAGCAGCTGCACCATTAAGCACAGTGTCGCGATTATCGGCACATGGTTCGTTCCGGCATTCGACGGTACCTCGAGCATTAATAACGCGATCTTCTAGCTCTCGCGCATACACCTGCGCAGCAGACTTCACTGTTAATCAATTACCATTTACACCCCATCTAGTATCACATACCTTGCTTTGAGACAGTTCTCTTTGCAAATTGATCACCTCCGCCCGAAGTGTCATATGGTCCGAAGTAAGCTGATCGACTAGTTTGTCCTTGTTCCGAAGTCGCTGCCTCAAATTCTGCGCTCCACAAAACGAGTTAATATTACTGGTCTGCTCATTGCTTACGGGTCCCGCTTACCTTGTTTGCTAGCCGCAGTTCGGCAGCCAGTCGCCCTTCACCAACAGAAAACCCTCCGCGCCCACCCGCGCCCAGCATGTCTTGTTGACTGATAAGCCACGATCGCTGTAACGTGGAGTGCGCTTCTAATGCGCTGCGTAAGAGGGCAGACTGTTGGTCAAACATGTGCTGCATCTCGCTGGTAGACGGAGAAAGAAAGAACTCTCGAGCATCCATGCTCTCCAGTTCACTCATTTGCTCTCCACCAAACCTTCTCTTCTGATTGCTAGATCCTGGCTTCGACAAATCTCCAAGAGCGATCATGACATCGGTCCCTTCGGATAAACTAAAACTCGACTTCGTCTGCATTACCGCTGGGGAACCAGACGGCTCATCCACAGACCCTGATGATGGACTTCTGCTACGCGCCAACCCGGTAGACAGCAACGAAGCATCTTCGTTCGCGCTACACTCGTCACTCATGTACGTGAAAGTATCACCCCTGTCGTCGAATTCGTCCCTGCTTGCATATAAAGGTGCTGCTGAAACAAGCGCTGTCCACTCGTCGAGCGACTTCGAGTCAACACGAGCAAAATGCTTGTCGTCGAGCGGACCACATTCTTGACGCCATCGAAGAGGCCATGTTCTCTTGCTCCCGTTTACCAAGTCATCGTCGTCGTTTTTTTGATCAGCCTTGAACCGGCGGATTTTACTGTCAAGGGACACAAGCTTTTCTTGGTGAATTGCGAACTGCTCGTTGCGAATGACCTTCAGAGTATTCGCTGCCTCCATCAACGGTAACGACCGATTGGCGATAAGATCGATAGCGCTAGCTACAACCTCGTCTATATCTCTGGAAAAGGCCACCGAGTCATCATATTCCAATTTGCGGATTCGTGCAAGCACCTTGAACAAATCCAACTGTGTCCTGCTATCTCCGACTCGATCGTCAATCGGCTCGACTCCACATAACAACGGACCACAAAATGGCATTCCCTGTCGATTTGTGGCCAGAGTCGACCAAATTCTTTCCAACCTTTTGGCAAGCTGGACTTTGAGAGGCGCATTGAGGTAGCAGTATGGACAGATGAACGACCGTGATTTCTTGGAAAATATCTGTTTCAAGGGTAGCTGACGACGACAAACGAGTGTAGTGAGTATCATCCCATGACACATGCATGACTCGTCATATACACATACCTGTGGGAGAGCTTCGTGCGATATCGCAACAGGACACTGAATGCACTTCCATAGACAAGCTTTTATAATACTCTTCCGTGGTGAGGTATACTTCAGCTTATGTGTCGCCTTCTCACTATCATCACATGTTTCTTTCTCCCCTGTTAGCACGCAAGTGTGTCGAGGGCAATACCAAGTTGCACCTTCATCGTTTGGGAATGGGTAAGCGCCCAAACAAAATCGATGGTACACCTTGGTGCACCCAGAGAACTCGCACACAATTACCTCTCCTCCAAAACCGCAAAGCATACATTTCTCCTCAGACCGCTGTTCTTCATCAGCTGTACATTCCGGGTCGAACAAGAGCTGAGCTCTGCTGGTAGGCACCCCAATCTGAGATGTGTTTTTCTTTCGTCCATCCAGCTTTTTTGAAAGCGTCAGATCCTTCCTTGGATCCTTTCTCGCTGGCGGCGAGACTTCTTGAGACGACGAACGTCGACCACGTGGTTTTTTAACGGAGCCACTGGGTCTGTCTGGAGAAGCCGAACCAAGGCGCCGCTTTATAATGCCATCCCTGGACTTGAGTTTGTACTTTCTCGTCTTCTGTACGAGCGCAAGTTTAGCTTCTCGTATGCTTTCATCGACTGCATTCACCCCTGTACCTCCGGACTCTTGCTTATCTAGTGCATCTACCTTTGCACGCAATAGCTCCCCTTTTTCGCGCTCCCTTTCACGTTCCTTTTGGCAGTCTGGACAAAACCACTCTCCGGGTGGAACTGCCACTAATGGAGGAATCAAACAGTTCATGTGATACTCCCGTTTGCACTTTTTTCCGTCGCACAAAATTAGTAGCGAATAGTGATCATCCACCCGATTGCAGCGTTCACACGGCAAATCCACCACTTCATTCTTGCGTTCCATGCTATCAAAACATAGTGAGTAAATGGGCAACAGCCCCTGCATGCAAATGAATACAGTTGCATTGTGTAACGCACATGCGGTCGAAGAAGCATTTACCCGTATCGTCAGTCACGTCCAGCACAAGCTTCGCTTCGTCGAGGGCTTCTTGTATTAAATGCTGATTGTACTTGTTTGACGCCGTAAGCGTAGTGAGATCTTTCGGGAACGGCTGAATTGACGACTTCGAGACCCACCCACTGTGAAGGTTGGCAAAACAACCGTAAGATTGGTTACAGCGCTAATAACCGTCGATCAATGTACTGCAGCGCGCGCTCGTACTAGTTTCTGCTGCCAAAGAAATAAACACAAGCCTGTCCTTTTTTGGCCCGATACCGTGCCATCTTGGCAAACTCCCCGGGCTCGCTAAACTACAGGCCATCAAGCACATACGACGTAAACCACTTGATCCAACGCTCAAGCTACTGACATGACACGTACCCTTGCTGGCCAGGGCTGATAGCGTCCGACGCGAGCAAGTACTAGTCCGCCTCTCTGGTTTAAAACATCTCGAAGCGAGTTGTCACTGGTCTCCAGGAGTTCTAGAGGTATAGAATCAAGTAGACGAAAACAAGACGACGGAATTACAGGTGAGCTAGACGTGGGCGTCGAGTAGTTGCAGAATGCGCCCATCAATTTTTTGCTCTCTCTTACCGTAGTACTCTTCCTTGCGCTGCGCCAGCTCCATCAAGCTAATCCGTTCCTTGGTCATGGCTCCGCCGTGTGATGCCGACTGCCTCCCAAGTAGATGGACCGAGCGTCAGAGCATACAAGTAACCGTCAGTCAGAGGTACTCAATACTTCTGTTGGTTTTTCAATGCATCATAAAGACGCGTATGTGTCGGCCATTCAGGCGCTTTAACGTACCTGCAGCACTTCCAAATCGCCAGATCCGTCGCTCGTCCGTCCGCTATTTGGTGTTGTGCTCGACTGTGAAACTCGTTGGAGTGTGCACCACATTCTAGTCCTCTCTGAACTGATCGGGCGATATTTCGTTCAGGGGGAGTTCAAGGACACCAATGATGTTTGGAGTGGGAACACTGTTGTACAAAACAGTGCTACTCGCTCCAACGTATCTGCGTCCAACAACTGACTCAAACTAGTGTATTATGAATTATCAGCTTCTACCGATTAGAAACCCTTCACACATTAGCACATCACAACGTTTTTGCTGGCCGACAAAACAAAAAAAACTTCACATCTTGGGGACGCAGTCTTAAATTCATTTTTTACTGACCAGACGCAATCAGGATAGAGATGGATCTGAGACTGCACGAACGCAATTGTCGCCAAGACATTCATTCGACTTGCTGTCTATTCAGGGGCCTCAAAAGGTCACAAGAAGCCAAGCAAACAATTCAATGTATACATACGCACCATCGATACTCGCATTATAATAAATTGTCCGCAAGTAGTGGCGAGAAAGTAACACGCTGCTATAACCCGATACAATCGCCAATACACAATGGAAAAGTGAGCTCTAAAGACAGCAGGTACGCAGACATGAGAATAGCTGATTGAAACAGTTAAAAGCCCTCTGCACATCTCTTAGAACCTCCGCACATGACAAATTTTGAAGGGGTTTAAAATTCGAAGCCCAAGCACTATTCGGTAAATTCCGCGGGATTTTATTCTGAGCACCGGAAAATCATTCACATAACAGTACAATTGTTCCAGCCAAGCATCATTCCGAGCTGCATTAATGCATTAATCTACATCTTTATTGTAACGGGGTGAATCGTTACGTAACAATTTATAAGAAATTGTTAATAGAATATAACTATAAGAGTTATATTCTCAGAATATTGTCATAAGGACAAATGTTCTGTAGCACTTACGAGTAGTTCCTAATTGGTTGATATAGGCCATTATATCAACCAACGAAGACGCGCCACGATAGACGCACGCAATGAGTGGTGAGCAGATAACTGATTTACACATTTGTATTTAGACATAGTTAGATGAGGATAAATAGTGATTTATTAACAGACATTAACTATTATAAATACAGTTCTACTTTTTACTTTAACCAAGTACTCGCTTCTTCTTATCGTCTGCTTCTGCACGTACGAGTGTACGTGAAGTTCCGAGGCACCGCCTTATTCTGGCACCAGAATAAGTAGCTTGTACTGTCACCACTACAAGCTTCAGGGTGCCCCGTTACACCTGGTAGCACTTCGTAGTCCGTCCAAGGACCACGTTCACATCTAACATGAATATGTTGGATGATGAAGATGACCAAAGCTTTCACGCTACGCGTGACGGCTACTCCCATTTGAGCGATGTCGAATGGGATGCGGTTGAACGGATGGGTTCAATCATGGGCATCCATGCTGTTAGCGTCATGCTAGAGGCTCTCAATAGAGATGACCAACATGCTACTATCGCCAAGTTCATTCAAAATGAACTTGACGCAGAACGCGAGAAAGTAGCCTTGCTTCACCAACAAGGTTCTCAACAAGCAGAGTTGTTGAGAGAACAGGGTGCTCGACAGTTCGAACTGTTGAGAAAGCATCAGGCTGCTGCTGGTGGGTCGATGCACTCGCGTCGACCCGAGACCTTGAAGATTGACATCTCCAAGTATAGGGGAGTCGAAGAGGACTCTCTCTTGAGATGGTTCGTCGAATTGGATGACCATAAGGGCGCGTCGCATCGACGACGGGGATATGCAAGTTGCACTTGCCCAGTCAAATCTGGCTGGACGTGCCAAGACTTGGGCACTGGGGCTCAAGTTGCACGACCCTTATGCGTTTGGGTCGTTGGAAGTCTTCAAGTCGCGGCTCAGACAAACGTTTGAACCGCCTAGAGCTGAGTTCAGAGCTCGAACCGAACTCTTGAAGCTCAAGCAGGGTAAGCGTGATGTGCACGCTTACGCGCAACATATACGACATCTTACGAGTTGTATAAGTTCCAATCCGGTGGATGAACACACGTTGGTTTCGGTGTTCATGCAGGGTCTTGCGGATGGTCCCGTCAAGACTCACCTGTTCCGGCTTGAACTAGATTCACTAGAACAAGCCATTTCCATTGCGGAACAGGAAGACTTCAGTTTGAGACAGGCTCGCGCCAGCTCGACATCATATCGTCAACCGAGACGATATGACAGCGGAGGTCCAGAGCCGATGGAACTCTGTTATGTAGAGAGCGAGAAGGCTCGCTCTACAGACTACAAGAAGTTGCAGAGATGCAACAGATGTCAAAAGACAGTACACTACGCTTACGAGTGTAGTGCCTCTCGTTCAGTGTCTCGCAACACTGGGCGTAGTGACCGTCCACCCATGAGAAAGGGGCGCGGGTGCGCTGTTGGTGCAAAGACGCAACAACGGGATGGACCGTCAAAAAACGGACAGGATCAGTAGGTGCGGAGCACCCTACTGTTCCAGCAACGTCAAGAGAATTTGTAGGCCTCTTAGTTAAGGTTGCTCCCAACACACAAACGTTGTGCGTTGCTGCTCTAGGTAATGAGATCTCACTCATTTCCTTAAAACTTGAAGTGACAAATTAGTTGTCCCTTTGAGCTCTTGTCGATTGTGGGGCGTCCAACAATTTTGTGCGACGCCAATCGCTAGAAGATGGTCTCTTTAAGTTCAGTGAATGTGACACACCTCCTACGAGGATGACGGTACGTCTTGCGACAGGCGCATCCGTAACCGTCATGAAGCGAATAGTGAAGATCCACTATACGCTAGAAGATACTCAATATGACGATGACTTCATCGTATTGGATTTGGATGACAAATTTGATGTCATCCTTGGAATACCGTGGCTCAGAAGGTACGAACCACGGGTAAACTGGCAACATCGAACAGTAATGATGCCTGCCGCTTGTTCATCAGATAGCCATCTGATGAACGTTTTGGAGCTTCCACACGCGTGTGGATGTACTACGAGTGAGTGCGATGGACTCACTTGTGGTACGGTCCTTAGTACGACTGCACAAAACCTTAGTGTAACAAATGGTCACACTTCGGAGAAAAGGTCCGGCGGCTGTGAGGAAACACAGGCTGCGCCGAAGGTCCACCACTCGAATAAGTCGAGTGGACCGGAACAAAGATGTATCCCTAGCGGGGAACATCTAGAAGAGAAACAATCGATCGCTCAGGTTAAGCGAAACGATAATCCTAGATCGACTGGAGAGTCTTTCGTAGAGGATCTCGCTGTGGTTGCGCAACCCCAGCTAGAGGAAGTTAAGGGAATAAGTCCCAACATTACAAATACGGCGGAAATAAGTTCCCCGAAACCCGCGGGAATAAGTCCCCGGGAAGCCGAAGGAATAATTCCTTCGAGGCCTGAGGAATTGCGTCCCCAGGAAATGACAGAGACATTGAATGTCATAGTCTATGATGGATCAAATGTAGGCCCTTATGCACTTGATCTGATTGAGCCTCCGAAGTTGACTTCGAAGATAATTCAGTTGCCAACGCTCGAACATAAAAGGTTCTTGCGTGATCTGCGTAGTGGCAAAGTCAAGCAGATCTGCGTACTCGTCGCTGACGAAGAGTGTGTAGCCGACATAAGGTCAGCAACAGTGTTCACTGAGAACGAGAGAGTTCTCAGTAGTTCATCTATGGACGAGAGTGTCCTAGATGAAAAGACACGAGTTGAGCGATATGACTCCCAATCGTGGGAATCGCTCAAGATAAATCCTCTCTATGAAGATTTGGTTGAATTCAAGGATGTATTCCCTGAAACTGTTCCGTGCGAATTACCGAAGGATAAAGGTATTCGACACGAGGTCGAGCTTAAACCAGGCTCGAAGTACTGTGTCATGAAGCAGTGGCCACTGCCTCGTGAACAAGTACTTGCGATCGACAAGTTCTTTGCCGATCGTTTAGCTGCGGGCCATGTGAGGGAATCAACTTCCCCACATAGCTCTCCGACCTTCTGTGTGCGAAAAGCAACAGGATGGTGGCGGATAGTGCATGCATTTAACAAGTTGAATGCTGCAACGGTACCGGCTCAGACGCCAATACTGAGGAAGGACGTAATCATTGATGGTATGTCAAAGAGTACCATCTTTTCGTCGATGGATTTGATGGATGGCTTCTATCAAATCCTTATGCGAGAACGGGATATACCCAATACCTCAGTTAGCACGCCTAGCGGCATGCTCTGGGAATGGCTAGTAATGCCACAAGGGCTTAGTAATGCCCCTGCCACGTCCAACAGATGTGTATCACATCTGTTGAGACCAGTACGAGAATTCGCGCCGAGTTATTTCGATGACGTATTCATCCATAGTCGGGCTATGGATGGAAAGTCGGACGTCTAGGTTCACAGGTACCACGTCCGACAGGTTCTTACAATCATGCGAAAGCATCAATTGTATGCAAACCTCAAGAAGTGTATATTTGCAGCAAGAGAAATACCACTTCTTGGGTGCATCGTTGGTAAGAACGGTGTACGTCCTGATCCCGAAAAGATCAAGGCGATCACCGACTGGCCTGTGCCGGTTGACGTCAAAGGTCTTCGAAAATTCCTTGGGCTAGCGGCAAATTTGCAAAAGTATTCACGCAATTACGCCGATATGACTGTGCACCTCTCTCGTTTGTTGAAAAAGAACGAGAGGTGGTTATGGAACGCTGAATGTCAGCGCTCCTTTGATGGTATCAAGCAGAGCTTGATACAATCCCCAGTCCTAGCAATTGCCGATCAGGACAGGCCATTTCATGTGGTCTGTGATGCCAGCGATTTCGCAATCGGCTGTGCATTAATGCAGTACGATCTTGAAGGCATTGAACGCGTCGTCTGCTATCAGTCGCGTCAGCTGCAACCAGCTGAGCGGAACTATCCAGTGCATGACAAGGAACGCCTTGCCATGAAGTATGCACTCGCAAAGTTCAGAGTCTATCTGTTGGGAGGTAGACCCTTCATTGTTTACACTGACCATGCGTCATTACGCACGGCAGTGAACAGCCCGCACCTTTCACAACGTATGTCACGGTGGTTGTCATTCTTTGCAGAATACAACTTTACAGTCGAGTGCAAACCAGGACGACTTAATGTCGTCGCTGATGCACTCTCACGTCGTCCCGACTTTGAACCAGTCGTGAAACCCAACAGTGAGACAGTCACTGTTGCGGTTATGACGTCCTCAGTACCATCTACAACGTTGTATGATGATGTGAGGCGGGCATACGCCCAAGATGGTGAGATTGTGAAGTTGTTGACACATCTCTCACAGCCATCTCGAGAATCGTTGAAACGATTGTCGTCTGCGTATCGATCTGCATCAGATCAATACACTACTCGCAACGGGTTACTGTATTATACAGCCGTTTCTGGTGACAAACCACGTGTTGTCATTCCAGTAGATACTGATCTGCGTTTGCGGATCATGTTCGAGTATCACGATGCTCCTATAGGAGGACATCGTGGCTGGGAGAAAACATATCTCACGGTGAGTCGAGACTTTTACTGGCCCCGCCAGTATTAGTTTGTGCGAAAGTATGTTCGCGCATGCGAAGTACGTCAACGAGTGAAGTCAAGTCCTTCACTGCGTGCACCTTTACAGCCTCTACCGGTTCCGGCTGAGTGCTGGGAATCCATCTCAATGGATTTCGTCTTCGGGTTACCCAAAGACGCACGCGGGAATACGGGTATTCTCGTATTTTAGACAGATTCAGCAAAATGGTACACCTTGTGGCTGTACCCGAGTCAATCACGGCAAGTGGCTGTGCTTGTGTCTTTATTGACACCATCTTCCGACTTCATGGGTTTCCCCGTGAACTCGTATCAGACAGAGATCCACGATTCACTGATGATCTCTGGCGTTCCGTGTTCAAATCACTCGGAACGCGCTTGAAGATGTCTACATCTGATCATCCAGAGTCAGATGGTCATATGGAACGTGCCAATCATGTCCTCGAAGAGATACTTCGAGGATACGTACACTCCTTTAAGAGTTGGAGTGAGTTCTTGCCAATGGCAGAATTTGCCATTAACAACTCGGTGCATGCGTCCACGACACATACACCATTTTTATTACGTGAATGGCTTACGCCATCCGCGTGTACCCACCTTACTAGAGTGTAACTCTGGTTTAAGGGGGGAGACTCGCGCGAGCAAAAACCGATTCGGTTCACGCTCATCACGCTCTGACGAAGAGGTCATTGCGTTTGATGCCGATATCGATAACATCGATATCGAAGAAGATGATGCCAGTGAGAGTGCGAAAGCCCTCACTGAAGAAAAGGTTGATGTTGCTGCAGTGCACTCACAGCGCACTGAAGCTAACGAGTCATCAGATGAGTTCATACTGGCTTGTGAAACGGTAGTCCGTTTTGTGCAAGACTCCATTGCCGAAGCGGTGGATAAGCAAAAGCAAAACGCTGACAAGAATGGAAGGGCAAACAATCTTTTATTTAATAAAGGTGACTTAGTCCTACTGTCTACGGTTAATCTACCAAAGCATGTAGTGACTAACTTGGGTAGCAGTAAACTACTACCCAAGTACATCGGCCCATTTTGTGTATTGCACCGCCTAGGCAATGCATACACGATCGAGTTGCCACGTAAGATGCGAACGCATCCCACGTTTTACGTTGGTCGGCTTCAGCCGTACCATCAGTACGCTGCTTCTTCCGATGAAGAACGCCCTTGCGCTCAAGCATCTCGCAGAGAGCCTTGTGCTCCCGATGGTGGGCATCGACAAGGGTCTGAAGAGCAGTTATCTCAGCCCGAGACCGATCAACAATCCCACGAGCTACCCTTAGCTCGTGACGCAGAGACGTCAGAGCTCTCTCGTTCTTAAGCTGAGCAAAGGCAAACTCAGATCGATGCTTCGAGACAGTGTCCGCCATTTGGAGACGCCTGTCCCGCTCATGCTCGAGATCGTCGCGTAACCCTTGCGTTACGCGATCAAAGAAGCTCTCGGGAACACACGGATCTCCATGATCGTGTGGAGAGCGTCTTTCCTCCTCCTCCACCTCCATTAGAGGACTCCCCGGTGGCCAGCGCTATCTAGTTGAGCAGCTGTTGAACCACCGCGACGTGAACGGACGTCGGACGAGTTATCTCGTCCGGTGGCGCGGCTATCCCCCGTCCTGGGATACTTGGGAGCCCCGCTCCCAACTGATGGTTGACGTACTGGGTTTGGTTGAGCAGTACGACGCGGCACATCCTGTGCCGCAGAAGGGCCGCCGGAGAAAGTCTTCCCGGCACGGTCAAAAAGGGATTTCAGACTGTCAATCCCTTCGTACATCTCAGTAGAGATACGTACGCGCCACCACGGGCTAGTAAGGAGGTAAGCCTCCTTAGGTGCGCGCGCAGAGTTGTTCACACAACACGGGCACGAGTCTCCCCAAGAGAGACAGGGTAATCCTTTCTCCCTAGACAGACGATGCCGCTTGTAGCGTGCACCTGTCGGGGTTCGCTTTTCAAACTTATCACGAGCTTTGATAAGTTTGTCGTTCCAAGCGTCACGACCTACATCCTCAAGGTTATGGATGTAGGCGTTCCACGCTTGAAGTAGTGAGGGACCATCACGCTTGTGATTCCCACTGTACCATCGATGTCCAAAGAAAGCATCGATGAAGAATTCGTTTTCAGCGCGATAGTTTTTCGCGCTGGGGTCAAGGTGATGGATCCTTGACGAATCGAACAACCGTGTTCGATAACGATCACTCGTCATCACCGACAAGTGATCCATGACAGATTTAGGAGGCATCCATGCCTTCTTCTCGGGAGCGAGACGCAACACATTGCGATCCCGCTCTTCCTGCGACGTGCCGACAGAAGTACTGGCACCTCGTTGCGAAGTGGTGTCCATAGGAGAACCGACACCACTGTTAGCGCCCGAGTCTCGCGACCTCGAGCGCCTTCGCTTCGGCGATGGTTCATCTGATTCATCAGATGAATCAAAGATGCTGCGACGCATAGCATCGTCCATGCCACGCTTGGCAGGCGGCTTGGATTCAATCGCCGTCGATACGGATCCTTCTTCCGTATCAGGAGAGTATGAGACACCGAGCTCATACTCTGTGAAGACATGAGTGTCTTCATGACCAGCGCCTGCATCACCAGGTGACACAAGCTGAGTCGCCGTAGCAACCGATGAGACATCAGTTGCTGTGGTTTCTGCTTCGGCGTCCGCACAAAGACGTGCGGACGCGCTCTCGGCGGCCTTGCTCGCGCATCGCATGGGCTTGTTAACCATGCGATGAAATGTTGGAAAGTGGACTCGGACCAACAAGTGCAAACCCTGTCCCAAATGATTTGGGACGAGTATCCATTTAGTCAATCAGTCACTAAACTGACTGATGGTTAAGGGGGGGGTGATGTAACGGGGTGAATCGTTACATAACAATGTATAAGAAATTGATAATAGAATATAACTTTAAGAGCTATATTCTCAGAATATTGTCATAAGGACAAATATTCTGTAGCACTTACAAGTAGTTCCTAATTGGTTGATATAGGCCATTATATCAACCAACGAAGACGCGCCACGACAGACGCACGCAATGAGTGGTGAGCAGATAACTGATTTACACATTTGTATTTAGACATAGTTAGATGAAGATAAACAGTGGTTTATTGCAGACATTAACTATGATAAACACAGTTCTACTTTTTACTTTAACCAAGTACTCGCTTCTTCTTACCGTCTTCCTCTGCACGTACGAGTGTACGTGAAGTTCCGAGGCACCGCCTTATTCTGTCATCAGAATAAGTAGCTTGTACTGTCACCAGTACAAGCTACAGGGTGCCCCGTTACAATTACCCACACTGCAAGGTTTATCTAATTTTAGGACATAGCCTTGACCTCGTTGCACAAAATATCTTCGGCATTAGTGCCTCTTCGGGCTTCTTTTCTGAGAGGAAGTCATGATCGTGTGCACAAATGGAGTCTGTTGACTTTGTTCACAGACAATGGATGCGCGGCAACGATTAAAAAAGCGTCAGTAAGCATTGGAATTACATGATGCAATTATTATGTTACGAACCACTTTAACGGCTGATTCAGTATTTAGCAATAAGACATTTATTTATAATCAATTAAAAATATGGAAGTTATATAATTACGGTAATATAGAAGGGGTGGAGGGTGGTTATTGAAAACCTGGGGGGGGTGGCCAACGTTTCCCTATCTTTATCTTATATGTAGGGGGCGACACTATTGCTGGCAAGATGGAGAGAGAGACGTGTTGCTTGGGTATGCGCTCAAAATTTAGGTAATTACGAAAACTGATGACCCGCATATTAGTCAATGTCGTACTGACTCAGGAGCTTGTCTCGTACCCGATCATCGTCCGTAGCCTGCACTTGAAGCCCAAAAGATGGATCAGGCGTTAGAAGTGGTTCGTAACGTCGTATGCAGATGTGGCGAATTCCAATGCGTTCTGACGCTTCTAATCGGTGCCGCGCATCCATTGTCGGTGAACAAAGTCAACAGACTCCATTTGTGCCACGATCATGACTTCCTCTGGGCAGAAAAGAAGCACGATGAGGTGACAATGTCGAAGATATTTTGTGCAACGGGGTACACCTTATTTGGTAAATTAGATAAACCTTGCACTGTTCATGTAACGGGGCACCCTGTAGCTTGTACTGGTGACAGTACAAGCTACTTATTCTGATGACAAAATAAGGCGGTGCCTCGTAACTTCACGTACACTCGTACGTGCAGAGGAAGACGGTAAGAAGAAGCGAGTACTTGGTTAAAGTAAAAAGTAGAACTGTATTTATAATCGTTAATGTCTGTTAATAAATCACTATTTATCCTCATCTAACTATGTCTAAATACAAATGTGTAAATCAGTTATCTGCTCACCACTCATTGCGTGCGTCTATCGTGGCGCGTCTTCGTTGGTTGATATAATGGCCTATATCAACCGATTAGGAACTACTCGTAAGTGCTACAGAACATTTGTCCTTCTGACAATATTCTGTGAATATAACTCTTAAAGTTATATTATATTATCAATTTCTTATACATTGTTATGTAACGATTCACCCCGTTACATCACCCCCCCTTAACCATCAGTCAGTTTAGTGACTGATTGACTAAATGGATACTCGTCCCAAATCATTTGGGACAGGGTTTGCACTTGTTGGTCCGAGTCCACTTTCCAACATTTCATCGCATGGTTAACAAGCCCATGCGATGCGCGAGCAAGGCCGCCGAGAGCGCGTCCGCACGTCTTTGTGCGGACGCCGAAGCAGAAACCACAGCAACTGATGTCTCATCGGTTGCTACGGCGACTCAGCTTGTGTCACCTGGTGATGCAGGCGCTGGTCATGAAGACACTCATGTCTTCACAGAGTATGAGCTCGGTGTCTCATACTCTCCTGATACGGAAGAAGGATCCGTATCGACGGCGATTGAATCCAAGCCGCCTGCCAAGCGTGGCATGGACGATGCTATGCGTCGCAGCATCTTTGATTCATCTGATGAATCAGATGAACCATCGCCGAAGCGAAGGCGCTCGAGGTCGCGAGACTCGGGCGCTAACAGTGGTGTCGGTTCTCCTATGGACACCACTTCGCAACGAGGTGCCAGTACTTCTGTCGGCACGTCGCAGGAAGAGCGGGATCGCAATGTGTTGCGTCTCGCTCCCGAGAAGAAGGCATGGATGCCTCCTAAATCTGTCATGGATCACTTGTCGGTGATGACGAGTGATCGTTATCGAACACGGTTGTTCGATTCGTCAAGGATCCATCACCTTGACCCCAGCGCGAAAAACTATCGCGCTGAAAACGAATTCTTCATCGATGCTTTCTTTGGACATCGATGGTACAGTGGGAATCACAAGCGTGATGGTCCCTCACTACTTCAAGCGTGGAACGCCTACATCCATAACCTTGAGGATGTAGGTCGTGACGCTTGGAACGACAAACTTATCAAAGCTCGTGATAAGTTTGAAAAGCGAACCCCGACAGGTGCACGCTACAAGCGGCATCGTCTGTCTAGGGAGAAAGGATTACCCTGTCTCTCTTGGGGAGACTCGTGCCCGTGTTGTGTGAACAACTCTGCGCGCGCACCTAAGGAGGCTTACCTCCTTACTAGCCCGTGGTGGCGCGTACGTATCTCTACTGAGATGTACGAAGGGATTGACAGTCTGAAATCCCTTTTTGACCGTGCCGGGAAGACTTTCTCCGGCGGCCCTTCTGCGGCACAGGATGTGCCGCGTCGTACTGCTCAACCAAACCCAGTACGTCAACCATCAGTTGGGAGCGGGGCTCCCAAGTATCCCAGGACGGGGGATAGCCGCGCCACCGGACGAGATAACTCGTCCGACGTCCGTTCACGTCGCGGTGGTTCAACAGCTGCTCAACTAGATAGCGCTGGCCACCGGGGGAGTCCTCTAATGGAGGTGGAGGAGGAGGAAAGACGCTCTCCACACGATCATGGAGATCCGTGTGTTCCCGAGAGCTTCTTTGATCGCGTAACGCAAGGGTTACGCGACGATCTCGAGCATGAGCGGGACAGGCGTCTCCAAATGGCGGACACTGTCTCGAAGCATCGATCTGAGTTTGCCTTTGCTCAGCTTAAGAACGAGAGAGCTCTGACGTCTCTGCGTCACGAGCTAAGGGTAGCTCGTGGGATTGTTGATCGGTCTCGGGCTGAGATAACTGCTCTTCAGACCCTTGTCGATGCCCACCATCGGGAGCACAAGGCTCTCTGCGAGATGCTTGAGCGCAAGGGCGTTCTTCATCGGAAGAAGCAGCGTACTGATGGTACGGCTGAAGCCGACCAACGTAAAACGTGGGATGCGTTCGCATCTTACGTGGCAACTCGATCGTGTATGCATTGCCTAGGCGGTGCAATACACAAAATGGGCCGATGTACTTGGGTAGTAGTTTACTGCTACCCAAGTTAGTCACTACATGCTTTGGTAGATTAACCGTAGACAGTAGGACTAAGTCACCTTTATTAAATAAAAGATTGTTTGCCCTTCCATTCTTGTCAGCGTTTTGCTTTTGCTTATCCACCGCTTCGGCAATGGAGTCTTGCACAAAACGGACTACCGTTTCACAAGCCAGTATGAACTCATCTGATGACTCGTTAGCTTCAGTGCGCTGTGAGTGCACTGCAGCAACATCAACCTTTTCTTCAGTGAGGGCTTTCGCACTCTCACTGGCATCATCTTCTTCGATATCGATGTTATCGATATCGGCATCAAACGCAATGACCTCTTCGTCAGAGCGTGATGAGCGTGAACCGAATCGGTTTTTGCTCGCGCGAGTCTCTCCCCCTTAAACCAGAGTTACACTCTAGTAAGGTGGGTACACGCGGATGGCGTAAGCCATTCACGTAATAAAAATGGTGTATGTGTCGTGGACGCATGCACCGAGTTGTTAATGGCAAATTCTGCCATTGGCAAGAACTCACTCCTACTCTTAAAGGAGTGTACGTATCCTCGAAGTATCTCTTCGAGGACATGATTGGCACGTTCCATATGACCATCTGACTCTGGATGATCAGATGTAGACATCTTCAAGCGCGTTCCGAGTGATTTGAACACGGAACGCCAGAGATCATCAGTGAATCGTGGATCTCTGTCTGATACGAGTTCACGGGGAAACCCATGAAGTCGGAAGATGGTGTCAATAAAGACACAAGCACAGCCACTTGCCGTGATTGACTCGGGTACAGCCACAAGGTGTACCATTTTGCTGAATCTGTCTAAAATACGAGAATACCCGTATTCCCGCGTGCGTCTTTGGGTAACCCGAAGACGAAATCCATTGAGATGGATTCCCAGCACTCAGCCGGAACCGGTAGAGGCTGTAAAGGTGCACGCAGTGAAGGACTTGACTTCACTCGTTGACGTACTTCGCATGCGCGAACATACTTTCGCACAAACTAATACTGGCGGGGCCAGTAAAAGTCTCGACTCACCGTGAGATATGTTTTCTCCCAGCCACGATGTCCTCCTATAGGAGCATCGTGATACTCGAACATGATCCGCAAACGCAGATCAGTATCTACTGGAATGACAACACGTGGTTTGTCACCAGAAACGGCTGTATAATACAGTAACCCGTTGCGAGTAGTGTATTGATCTGATGCAGATCGATACGCAGACGACAATCGTTTCAACGATTCTCGAGATGGCTGTGAGAGATGTGTCAACAACTTCACAATCTCACCATCTTGGGCGTATGCCCGCCTCACATCATCATACAACGTTGTAG